GCTGTTACACAGAGAAGCTGTCTCTAAAAACCAAAAAGAAAAAAGAGAAAAGAGGCCTGAGCTACACCATCTTGGGACTCTGAAGAGTTCTCACCATCAAGGACAGGATCTTGAACCATGAGTTTGTGGCAATATATTGTGATAAACATGTATCTCTTACATTCTAAAACACTGTAACTTTTTCTGGGTCTCCCAACCAGAGTTAATTATACACCTTGGAGTCACATAAGACTTGAAGCTGCTGTCCAACTTTGTACCCAGACTGTTTGTTTAACATGCCTTTAAGAGAACAAAGTAACAGCCAACCTCATTTGTCTTGCATTACCCATGTTATCAGCTTTTACTACCAAGGCTAATGCATGGATGCAATCTTATGTGATCTCCCATGGCCCTCACTCAGAGTAATGTGTGTGTGCTGAAAACAGCAGAAATAGAGGTTGGAAACAATCTTATAAAATGAATATCCACCATAAATCTTGAAGGCAATATTCAGATATTGCTTGATAAACAATGATGTTTGTAGTACTGCCTATTATCTGGGCCAGATGGGGTCAATTTGAATTAGGGATTTAATCTCTTGTAAAACCCTGTTAAAGATTTCTGTGGTGTCCCTCACTCCTTCCCCATTAGATGTTTTCCATGCTGTTCAATAAATACAGAACAAAGCCTTCTGTTTCAGATATACACACAGTCGCACACAGACTCAGAGTGACACTGAGACAGAATCACACGGCAGATTCAGACTCAGGCAACAGAGAAGATAGACGACCGAGCACACAAAGCAGAGAATTCAAATCTGGGCCCAATCATGATTAAATGACATGAAGGGAAAGGGCTTTCTTTCCTTAATGCAAAACCAACATGCTATTGGTGGCTCAGAGCTTATTATTAATGCATTCTAACTGACCAAATGTGGGTGTTTTGTGTGAGGAGTAGGCAATGTGTTTAACCCACTCACGAGGTGAATAAACTTCTATGTCTAAAAAAAGTTCCCCAGCTGTGCTCTTCAGTGATGGCAGCAGAGAGCAAGCAGAGCAGATCCTGTTGGCCACTCCAGCTGGAAAGAGCAATGGCCTGTGGTTTAATTCAGTAGCTAGAGACTTGGAAGGACCAGCAAAGCAAACCTAATGACAGGGATGTTTGAGAGAAAGGGAAGGGGCATAAAAGGACTCTTAGAATTGATCTAGAGTGTGGGAGACTCATTCTTCGAGACACCAGCAAAGGCTCCAAACTACAAGGTGTATTCAATAACCAGTGACAAGCTCTCCCCATGGCTCAGCAGGAGCATGTACTGCTCTTGGAGAGGACCTGTATTCAGTTCCCTGGACCCACATTGTGTGGCTCACAAACACCTATAGGTCCAGCTCCAAAGGATCCCTCTCCTGGCCTTTGAAGGCACCTATTATACTCACTGTATATACAGTGTTAAAATATATAATAGGTTGTAATGTTAAAGAATTGACTTATTTTCTATATCTCAGCCATTTTTATCTACAGACATTCCAATATTGCCCAGTGACTCATGAACACAGACTATATATTTGCTCAGCAACTTGGATTTTCCCCTCATCACAGCTGATTTGACTGCTGCTTCTGTTGAATGTTTAGCTGTGTGCTGGCAAGTTTTGTGTCAACATGCCACAAGCTAGAGTCATTTGGTTTGGAAAAGGAAACCTCAGTTAAGAAAAGGCTGCAGCATGTTGGCCTGTGGGCATGCCTGTGGTGCATTTTCTTGATTGATGACTGATGTGGAGGTCACTAAAAGAAAGTAGGAGGCAAGCCATGGGAATAAGCCAGTAAGCAACACTCCTCCGTGCTTCAGCTCCTGCCTCAAGGTTCCTGCCCTGCATGAGTTCCTGGGTGAGGGAGGGTCGTCTGAGCATTATAAACCAAAATGAGCCCTTTCTCCCTAAGCTGCTTTGATCATGTTGTTTTATCACAGCGAGGGAAACCCTAAGACAGTTGTCCCCAACTGAAACCAGTCATGAAATGGACTAGGCCTGACTGCAGCAAAGCCAGGAACAAGGAACCCCTGGTGGATTCTCCAGAGCAGCGTAGCCAGCACCACCTGCATGCCAGAATCTGAGGACTGAAGGCCCAAATCCTACCCAAAGTAGGACTGGATGCCCCCTCCACTGGCTTTCAGCAGACCCACTTTCCCTTTGATGTCACTTGTGGGCTTCCACACATGTGAGATTATTTGATGAGTGCAACCATGAATGGGTTTGGGAAATGTGACCCTCAGATTTCTACCCTGTACAGTGTGAAGAACAGTAAAAGGGCCATATTGGCTGTGAATTGAAAAACTTCAAGAGGAAGCAATGAGTCATCTTTTGTTCAGAAAGTTTTTCTGGGTTTAGATTTGCTGACCTTACTTAACAGACATCCACCCACACCATTTATAGACTTACTGGATGCTTATTCATCACCAAGGTATCCCATTCAACACTGGCTTTCATGCAGAAACTTCCTTGCTCTGTCATTATCACCATCATTATCCTTACCATCATCACCATCACCATCACCATAATCACCATCATCATTATCACTACCATCATCACCATCACTGTCATCATTATCACTATCATTGCCTCCTTCATGGCTGTCATCATTATCACTACCATCATCACCATCATCACCACCTTCATCACCATCACCATCATCACTATCATCATTTAGTATTTGGAACAGAACAAGGTCTAATGTGGTCTGCAGACCACATTAGCCTAAAATTCCTGGCAACTTTTCTCACAGCCTCTGGAATTCTGGGATTATAGGCAGGAGCTCCTATGAAAAGTGCAGAAACAATTTGTATAGTAAACGAGAAAGCAAGACTGACACTACATTTCAGACTCAAACTCCACTTGAGAGACAATGTTCTCAAGTACAGTGCTGTTGCCCATTCATATCTGTTTGTTCTACACCCTCATGCTTAAGCAGAATTGAAAATATTCAAGCCATTCTTGTCCTTACGTAACACCAACAGACTGTTTTTCTTTCTCATTACTCCCTAAACAGCACAGTGTAACAATGATGTCTTAATTTGCAATGTGCTAGGTACTGAATGTGGTGTATCGATGACTCCACGTGCAGGGTGGGGCACATGCAGATCATACGCAGGCACTATATCATTTTGTGAAAGGGACCTGAGAGCATCAGCAGATTTCAGAGAAGGCTGGAGTCAGTGCCACACAGACACCGAGCAATGGCTGTCCACACTGATCCACACCCCTCTTTGTCCCATACTGTGGATGTGCAGGTCTGAGTGTGTGTACGGGGTAACATCAGGAGCAGTACCTTCTTAATGACCACTGGGACAATTGTTCCTTAGCCCCAGGACTGTGCTGCGGATACAAAAGCTTGAGAAAAGTCACCCGCCAGCAGCAAACAGCAATATTTCCATTGACTTAGCAGCGATTGTCACCACCTGGTTAGTGTGGCTTCCTCATACTCTGTGAAGAACTGGGAAGAACACTCTGGTGTCAGAGCAAGACTTCATTAATGAGGACAGTGATTTACAAGAGAGTCATGGAAATCTGAGTGTCTCTTGGAGCTCCAGGGTCTAGTAATAAAAGCCCCAGTGAGAGGATCACAGAGGCTCCAGCCTTTTGTGGAAAGGTTTGGACCATTCCTGAGTAAGCGACCCCTTCAGTCAAACGGTTGTCTAAAATCATGTGGAATGGGAAATGGATGAGGAAAATTGTATAGTAATTAAACCTAACCAGTTGTAGAAAGGAACATTGTTGCATTGGTATGTATTTTCCTTCCTGCCATGTCATGTGCACACATTTTTCAAAATCTTTTTTCCTTGTCTCTTTCTCAACTAAAGGTGTGTTGCCAGCAACCAAATTTAAAATGTAATTCTGTATAGACTACTGAGATTCCAGTGGGAGGACCTGGGGAGTTGGCAAAATGCTCTCTGTGGAGGCTTGAGGACCCACATTTGATTCCCAGCACCTATGTAGAAATCCATAGTGGCATGGCTTGTGATCCCAGTGTTGGAGGAAGAAACAGGCAGATCTCAGAGCTCACTGGTTAGCCAGCCTAACTGAGTTAGTGAGCTCAGGTCCAAGTGGGAGACCCTCCCTCAGAAACCAAGATGGACGGCTTATGAGGAATACCTCTGACCTCCATATCACCCTCCACACACACATGCATGAATGTAAGCATGTACACAAAAATAATAATTGTTTTAGTTTCTAAAGTTCTTTGTTTCGATTTAAATTTTGTTTTTATATTTGGACAAGTATTTTGTCTGCATGCCTGCTGCCCACAGACACCAGAAGAGAGTCTCAGATCCCATGGAACTGGATGTTTGTGAGCTGCCACGTGAGTGCTAGGAATTAAATACAAGTCCTCTGGAAGAGCAGCCAGTGCTCTAAACCACTGTTGCAGCTTTCAAGCCCCATCCCAAGTAATTTTTAAAAAGTAATAAAACATAGAAGTTAGATGGTTAAGGGTTTCAGATCACATGCCACTCTTGTGATCTGAATATGGTTCCCATCACCCACATGACACAACATACAACTGCCTGTAACACCAGACCCAGAGGAGCAGGCATACTCCTTTGATCTCTGTGGGTACACACATGCATTCACAAATAAATTTTTTTTAGATTTATTTATTTATTATGTATACAACATTCTGCCTGCATATATTCCTGCAGCCCAGAAGAGGGCACCAGATCTTATTATAGGTGGTTGTGAGCCACCATGTGGTTGCTGGGAATTAAACTCAGGACCTCTGGAAGAGCAGTCAGTGCTCTTAACCTCTGATCCACCTCTCCAGCTCCACAAATAATTTTTTATCTTCAAAAGATAATAAAACACATTAGCTTTATTTTCCTTTAAACTTTCTGACCTGTGACCTTCCACTGCAAGTACACATTTATTAGCAAGACTAACTTTCCTGAGAGAAAAAAATCTCAGTCAGCTTAATTCCAAATGTAAGAAAATACCACTGCAAAGACATAAAAGAGGAATAAATAAATATAAGCGGTACCCATTCAAAGTCATTTGATTTTTGCCTTTACTTGTGATTTTATTTTATAAAGAATTATTATACTTATGTAATTTTCATAACACAAAACTGTGAGAAGACTATACATGAATACTGATCCTATAGTTGGTAGCACACAAAATGCTAAGTCAGGTATGCTGGTGGACAGCTGTAACCCTAGTCTCTGAGAGGCTAAGGTAGGGGTGAGGATGAGGGTGGGGGAGGGTGACTAACTAGAGGTCAGCCTGGGCTACATAGCAAGACTCTGCCTGAAGAAAGCCAAATCTGAGAACAAACAAGCAAAAGCCCAAGCAAACAAAACATTGATTAATGGACGCCGGAAAGATCGATTGGGGTTAAGAGTATCTCTGCTCTTCCAGAGGGCCAGCACCCACATAGTGCTTCATGATTGTCTGTAACTACAGCTCCAGGGTATTCAACACGTTTGGCCACTGGAGGCCATTACAGTCATGTGTACACACCCACATGCAGACATACCCAACTATACACAACTAAAGATAATACAAAGATCCATTAAAGCATTTAGAAAGCCATTTAGAAACATTGTGTCTGGTTTTATATTTATAGATGTTGCCTGGTTGAAGTTTCCATAGTGGACACTTACCATATCCTACTTAATAATTAAAATAGTGGAGCAATACCCAAGCATGCAGTCAATAAAAGTTGCCTCATCTTCTCCCAGGATTCCTCTCTGTTGGTGTGAGTTTTTTAGGAGTATTAATATTTTCAGATTTACCTCTCTCCTCGGCATATATCTTCTCAAGGAACTGGGGGGGGGGAGGGGGGAATGAGAATCTCTTCATTAAAAATTCCAAACAAAAGCTATATATCCCTCCTGCTTTAATACCCCAACTTAAACTTCACTCTCACAGATTTCCTTATGCTAGACAAGAGCTTCAAGGTGAGTGAGAGATCCTTGAGAAAATACAGTAAAGAGTGATAGATACCTGATGCCCTCCTCTGGCCTCAATGGACCACACTCTCTCACACACACGCATGCACATCCACACACACACACTCCCACACAGACACACCTTAAAATATTTTGAAATTATCTAAACAATAACAATTATATATGTACGCATATATATACATCTATATGAATATATATATATTACACAATAATGGTGTACATGGTGGCACATGCCTATAACTCCAGCACTTAAGAGCTGGAAACAAGAGGATCATAAGTTCAAGAGTTCAAGGTCACTAAAACAAACAAACAAACTCCCAAAACAAATAAAAGCATATATATTATATTTACATAATATACAAAAGAATACAAAATGCACAACATAAAATATTAATAAACATATTTTACATATTCTACATATATAATAACTTATGTGGACTTTCCATGCAGATCAAGCAACTACTACATGTATGTCAAACCCAGTATGTATAGAGTGTATACATAGAATATAGAGTACATATAGCTAGTGGGCCTATCACTCAGAGCTAATGGAGACACTCCAATAAACTCTATGATGGAGTGTTTTAGTCCTAAATCTCCATCTCATTCTCTAAACTTACCTAAAGCCAGGCTGGCTCTGAGCATGTTCAATGTGCTCATTTATTTGACATTAAATATAAGCCACTGTTAGTTTTATCACTCTTGAGAAATAGAAATCCAAGCCAGGTGTAAGTCTAATAGGTAGAGGGTAGATGGGGGGGGGTTCTGAAGTTCAGGGCCAGCCTCAGGTACATAGTGATTTTTGAGGCTAGCTTGGGCTCCATAAGACCCTATCTCAAAACAATAACCATGGGGATGGGAGGAGAAAAAAGGAAAAGAAATGTAGTGTCTCTTTCTAACAGAGCGCCTTGGCTATTGTGTCATCTGGGAACCTGAGGCCCATGCTGGTGGGCTGTGCGCATCCTGTTATTAGCTATGACTGGTCCCATATGTCCTACTGTCCAGCTGTCTGGGTGCACAGCTTTTGTATGGTCTTCTCAGCCCTCCTCCACTGTGATCTTCAAGCTGGAGGTGTGTTTGAGCCTGCCTGTGGGAGAAGGCTGGTGAAGCGCAATCCTAATTGGTTTTATCAACAAAAGCCTGGAATCAGACATCAAGGTAAAAGCTGAAAAATCAAAGAAGCAAAGGAGCAGCCACAGTTACTTCTTACCTTTCCAAATCCTGTCTCTGCCCCGCCTTACCACTTCCTGTCTCCTCTCTGTACAAAACTCTAGACCTCTATGGTTAACTACTGGCTAGCTCCACCCTCTCATCTCCAGGCAAGCTTTATTTGTCAGAACACAAACAAAATATCACCCAACAGGCTGGAGTGCCCTTTACACATGACAGGGCAAACCTTCTGGAACCTGGAGAGGGCAGAACAGAAGCCAGGAGTCCCCTAGACAGGAACTTTAGCCACCATGTGTTTCCATTAGGACAGAGTTTACACAGCAGTGACACAGTTCTAAGTGCCAACTCCATTTCACGCCGACCCATGCTGCATAACTTTGTCCTTAGACTTGAAAGCACAGGACACTTAAAGAGTTCCTAGAGAGCTCAGAATGTCTTAGTAACAGACTGCAAAGCACAGGCTCTGCACCTCTACTCTACTCACTTTGGTCCCAAGGAGAGTGATTTCAAAGCAGCAGGAAGACAGACTCTCTACAGAGGCAGAAACCAAAGGGTTCCAACTGGAAAGTGATGTTTGCTTGTTTGTTTGTGCTTTTTATTTCAAGACAGGGTTTCTGCTGTCCTGGAACTCTCTTTGTAGACCAGGCTGGCCTCGAACTCATAGAGATCCACCTGCCTCTGCCTCCCAAGTGCTGGCATTAAAGGTGTGTGCCACCACCACTCGGCTCATAACATTGAATTTTTATTTAACTACATCTTTCCTGAGACTTATGGATGCTGGGTGAGGACTATCTGATTATGTTAGGGTACTTCCCATTCACAGATGTCTTCTTCACATCCCTCAGCAGGGTTCTGCAGAATGGTTTTGGGCTCACCCTGGGCATCCTGTAGCCCCTGCTCAGAAGGAAGTTCTTAAAGGCAGCAGCAGTTCCATGCAGGCCTGGGAGCAGCTCCGCCTGAAAGAGCAGTTTAAAGGAGAACTTGATGGGAAGCCACTGTGAAGTCCTCACTTCAGGCACTTCTCACTCTCAAGTTCATCAGTTAAGGATGAAGGCTTTCAAAGACTTCGGATTTCAACCTCTTGCCCATTTTCCTCATCCACTTGCATAAAGGATAAGCAACAGATTTTAACAATTGAAAAGTTTTGACTTGGGATATCTAGAAACTAACTTGGTATACTCTATGCACAACTTATAGATTTTAATTTTTTTTTTAAATTTACCTGGTAAGAAAATCAAATGAGTACCTCAGTGCCCCACAATTTACAGCTCTTAATTACAAAGGGCACAACAATAAAAACAGACTGTTTCTGTCCCAAACCCTAGGAATATCCATGCACTCTTTTGATTTTTCTTTTTGTTTGTTTGAACTCCAAAAGTGGATGTAGAAATTTATTCAACTGTTTCAGGTCATTTCACTGTCCTAACCCAGACCGTCAAGGACAGTGGAGACTCTTGAGTTCTTGGTAAGATTGTCATAGTGGCTGTCCCCTACTGACACACCACTGTAGCAAACCTTCAATGCACTAGCTAAAGCCTCCCCCAGGCACTATGAAAGTGTGATTTATCAACAACACTGTAGGCTGGGCATGGTGGAGCATGCCCATCATCCCAGCCTTTGGAAGGTTGAGGCTAGAGTATCAGGAGTTCTAGGCCAGCTTGGACTGCAAATGTAAGATTATGCCAAAAAAAGAAAAAAAGTCATTGTAGAACAATTCTATCGAATAATTCATCCTATAATAATTATATCAACCATACTTGCCCAAATAGAAGGGATGCTACTTCATTAGCTGATATAAGTACTCTGACAGACACCATAAATAGCTTTTACTATCAGAATAAAATATTATGATATTAATTAAATTCCTGTACATTTGGGCATTCTTAATCTATGCACTCAGAAGTTCTACTAAGTATTATTTATACTATTCTGAAGTTTATTTAAACATGTTGTGCTTATAGATTTATGGTATATCTTACTCCCAAAAAACATGGGTTTTTTTGTTTGTTTGTTTTGTTTTGTTTTTAATAACCAATAGTGGGATGATGAGAGATGTCATTTTGTAAATATGTTTCTCTTATTGGTTAATGAATAAAGTACTGTTGGCTAATAGGAAAGCAAGGTAGGTGGGACTAGGAGACAAGGAGAATCTGGGAAGAGGTTAGAGAGATTCAAAATGTAGGACAAAGACAGCAGAGGTTTGGATCCTCTCTCCAGTAAGATAAGACTTCATGAAAATACATAGATTAATAGAAATGGATTAATATTTAAGAAAGAGCTAGCCAATAAGAAACACTAGTAACTGGCCAACAGCTTTATATCTAATACAGTGTCTCTGTGTGTTATTTGGGGCTGGCACGGCTCTGGGACCAGGCTGGTAGGAAAACAACTTGTAACAGTGGGACACAGAAAAATGGCCACCATCTATTTTAGCCTTTAAATCTAGAGAGCAGATTGGTAGGCAATACTAAGGAAATACCCACATCTGTGCAGGGTTTTACTTTCCCATGTGTTTCCCACCTAGTGTCCAGAGACACTCTGGCCTGTTGGAAATGAGAAGAGGTCCACAAATGTGCTCATCAGAGGCCTGTGAAGCATATGTTAACGCTTCCCTGTTGCCAGGGCAACAGTGATGACCTTGGCTCCAGTAGATGCATGTACATAAGGGATAGGCAAGCACACAGCTTATCTACAGTAAAGCAGGGCCATGGTTGGTGGTGTGGCTTTGCTGCTCTGTCAACTCGAAGTGTTTAACTTTTGTCCTCTCTCTTAGAGATACTGTGGCAACTGAATTCTAGCAATGAAACTTCCCAGGAACAATTTTGAATTCTTTGACAGTCATCCCTTGCTGATGGAAATAAGTTCCATGATTAGTTGCCTGAAACTTCAGGACATCATAGAAGTCTGAGCACTGTGGTGGTCCTACCTGTCCTTTAAACATTTATTCATAGAACATACCGTTCAAGTGGGTAGTAGTGGGCTGAGGGTGGAGGCGTACACTTTTAATCTCATTACTCAGGAGGCAGGAGGATCTCTGTGAGTTTGAGGCCAGTCTGGTTTATGTATGGAATTCTAGGACAGCCAGGGCTACATAGTAAGACCCTGTCTCAAACAGAAGATGTTAGGAGTGCTGTCCCAGTTTAGAGGCACTGTGCTTACCATGAAGCCAGAAGTCAAGTCTTGTTTATTATGTGCTCTACAGTTCCTCTTGCCTTTCCAACTGCTGAGTTTGATACACACATCCTGACTTTGGGGAACCTCTGTGCCCCACCATGCAGTGATTATTTGTGTCTCAGACAACCAAATCTCAGCACATGTTCATACCTGCTCCCAAAGATGCATTTTAAAGTTAGCATCCTGAGCTTTGTGTGAGATCTTGGGATCGACCAAGGGTTCATCTACTCTTTGTTTCTTCCACAGGTTTGTCTTCAGATACCAGGCTCCATACCTCATCTTCACCCCTTTGGGCTTATGAGGATTCTAGAGAAGGTGACATAATTACCAGGTTGTTAGTTGACACTACTTATTTATTGGTTAGTTGATCGTTTCAACAATCTAAGACTCATCTTACAAAAGGCATGTCATTGTTTAGAATTTACAGCTGATCCTTGTCAATAATTTTACAATTTCAGTGTGTTTTGATTTTTGAAAAAGAAGCATGATTTCATAAATAGAACACAGTAATGACTAGGAACATGGCCTTGGGTGCAGACAGACCTAGGCTTGAGTCTTTCCATTTCTCAGTAGCTGCAAGTCCACAGACCCAACACTTAAATTATTTATTGTCAAAACAAACAAACAAAAGATAACATGTTTTTAACCCCATGAGAGTATCCTGAGGATTATAGGAGAGGACATATGCAAGGCAGGTAGAAATCAAGTGAAAAATCACACATTTCACCCACCGGTGATGATCTTGAACAAAACTCAAGTGAACCAAACTGTGAAGTTAAAATTACTAAGCCCACCATTCCTCTAGCCCTGGGTCATTATATGATCAACCTGCTGCCTGGCCCTAAGCTTCTGCCCCTTTAATGAAAAGAGGAAATGTGAAGGAAGAGCTGATCTCACTCTCTTTTAAGTTACTTCCACCTTTGTGCTCCACGATATAAAGCTAGCTCACAGCCAGATGCTGTGGATACAATGTTGCAAGCTCATAGTCAGACACAATGGATACAATGCTGCAAGCTCACAGCCCTGACACAATGCAAGCTCACAAACAGACACCGTGGATACAATGCTCCCCATGCTTCAAACTGTCTTATTACAAATATCAACTTAACTCCAGTGGAGCACAAAATCATGAAAGCACAACTCTCTCTGTCCTCACGTTCATGTTTAATATTTCTTCTACATGTTTGCCCTCATGTATGTAGGTGTATCACATGTGTGCCTTATGCTTGTGGAGGCTGAAGAGGGCGTTAGAACCCCAGGGCTAGAGTTACAGATAGTTGTGAGCCACCATGTGGGTGTTGGGAACTGAAACCAGGTCTTCTCCAAGAGCTACAAGTGCTCTTAACCACTGAGCCATTCCTCTAGTCATATATATATATATATATATATATATATATATATATATTTAAATTTTGTGTGTGTGCATGAGGACTGGTAAAAGGAGGCAAGAAGAAGGGCATCAGTTTCTCTGGAAGTAGAGTTATGGGCAGTGTGAGCTACCTGACAGGTGCTGGGAGCCACTCGGGTCCTCTGGAAGAGCAGAGCCATCTCTCCGGTTCCTCTTACCCATGTTTGAACTATGTAGTGGAAAACGAGGACCATTTGGGAGTTACAGTCTGTCTAAAACATCAAATATGGCAGCTGATAGGGGGCAGTCCCTCCTAGGGCTGGACTTAACACACTCTTTCTAGGCACCCTGGCCTCCTTCTTTCTTTTAGAAAACACCTATCACACTCTAGCATTGGGGCCTCATGTACTTCCTTCCTATACCAAGTTCATGCTACTTCTGGTAGTATCTTCCCTGACCACCTTACAACAACACACCGTGTCTTCTTTGCTTGCCTCACCTTTCATAGCAGCACTGGTCACTGTCTGATATGCTATATATCTTTCCGTTATCTGCATCACTTTGCATCCCTGGAATACAGGCTTTGGAGACTGTTCTCCACTGTACCTCCCGAGCATCTGGGGCATGTAGGAAATAGCAGGTACTCTATAAATATTTGCCAAATTACAGTGCTGTTTCCTAACTCTGCCACTATTGACATTTGGGATTTGGTCACTCTTTGCTGAGGTGAGGTGGCTTGCCTCCTCACTCTAGGACGTTTAACAACATTTCTGGTCTCTAACTGTGAGATGCTGGTAGCACCCACTGAGTTAGGACATCTGAAAATGCCATCTGCAAACATTGCCAAATATCCTTGGGGGGAGGGGAAGGATGCAAACACTCCCTTAGCCGAGAACCACCGAATGGAAAGAAGGGAAACCGAGAATGGGGTAAAAGAGTGGAGAAAGAGATAGCACCCTACAGAAGAACAGAAGTTGTTAACTTACTGCTGATCTCTCACACTTCCGCACACGCATAACTTCTTTGTGGAAGCCTTTATTGAAACTCCCCACACCCTATACCTGTTGGATCGGTCATTTCTTCTTACATGTGTACACACACGACATCATTCCGCTGCAGTTAATCATTTGCCTGTTGACTTTACTAGACTGTAAGTCCTGGCTGTATGAAGCAGATCTCCAGTTTTGTGTCATTTGCTACCAATACCTTTGAACACACAGATGCTCAGCAATGTTTGTTGAATGAATAAATAAGCAGATGGGTGAACTGGCGAACAGAGAGAAGAGAAAAACAGAAAAATAAGGACATGTAGTTCTTTGAGGAATGGAAAGTAAGAAAACCATATATAATCCCAACCAATGGACCTAGAAGAAAATACGTCCATAACAAAAACTAACATATGCCCTCACCTAAAAGGAGATAGATAACCACGCAGGGAAAGGGGGACTTCAGATAGACAAAACACATGAGCAGAGCTAAGGTAGGAGGGGAAAAAAAACAGTTTTAAAGAATAGCAGAGGGCGGAGTATAGCAGTGCTGAGAACTCTATGTGGGGTAGAAAACTAAAGATGGGACTTGCATTTCCAGAGTACAAACTGACTTTCTCTCCTACTTTCCACTTTTGGAAAACAGAAAAAAAAAATAATAAATAATATCATGCAAGACACCGAGCCTCAGTAACCAGGACAGTAATCCCTGGGAGAAAAGGGACAAACAAAGTAAGTGCCATAATTGCCTGCTGACTGCAGAAAAAGAGCCCCCAGGGCACACAGGAGGGGGAGCCCAGAAGCTCCCAAGGGAATTGAGGAAACAGGAATCAGGAGCCCAGGGAGTCCAGGGAGAGTGAGGCAGCGGAAGTTCACAGCACACAGCACAGAAAAGACACCAGATTACAGAGGGTAGGGTGGGGTGGAGGAGGGGCTTGTCCCCTCTCTGCACACTCACAGGAAAGCACCCAAGATAAAGGAAAGAACCATCTAAATGCACCAGAAGGAAAGTGCCTGGTAGTTACACAGGGCTGGGGTCGGCAGCCTTCTCACAGGACCACCCTACCACCACCCCAGGAAGGACACACTTAAGGCCTTGCTCAGCACTATGAAGTGATTAGCCTAAGACTGAACTATCACTTTGTCATTTCTCAAGAAATCTTAAAAGCAAGACCCCAGAAGACCAGACTTTCCCAAATAATTTGATTGTATCCGAGAACAAATTTCAAAAATATTACAAAAATGCCTACATGCCCAAAACACCCATTTCAGTGAAAACCACAATGCCTAGAATCCACTCAGAAAATCACCAGACATGAAACGATGCAGAAAAACATAGTGTATTCTGAGGACATAAGCAAGCTCATGGGAACTGACACAGAGAGGAAACAGGGGCTCTGATGAGAAGACATCCGAGCAGTTTGTGAGACCGCATCTCATATGTTCCAAAAGATTAAGTAAAGGCATGAAAAGCAGACACGCATCAGATGTCTAGACATGAAGATCGTAATTATGAGACAAAACCACAGACATTTCAGGAAAAAGAAATCACAGAATGTAAAGACCTATCAACAGAAAAACATAAGCAAAGGAGAAAACCATTGAACAGAAGCAGTGAGTTGGGACTCAGCATCCAGCCTCCTCATGATGTGCAATTCAAAAATAGGGAAAGACTGTGAAACCAAAAACCAATATGAAGAAGTAATGGTCAATTTTTTCCTCCAAGTTCATGAAAGAACATTGTGTATCTGTACAAAAAATGTCAAAATGCATTTTGTACAAATAATATATACTAATAATTTTTAAAAGCAAAAAAGTTTATGAAAATTGTAAGTCCATAGGTCTAAGAGGCTCATTGAACCCTAGCACAATAAGTCTGAAAAGAAGTGTGTGTGTGTGTGTGTGTGTGTATGAATGTGAATGTGTGTATTCATAAACATTGACAAAAAGGACAATCTAAAATTGACCAAAGAAAACAGCACATTCAGAAGAACAGGTCAAGCATCTCATAAGATTCATCAGAAACAACTCAGCCAAGACAGTAGAGCAACAGCCTCAGTACTGAAATAAAAGCAAAAACTGTGAACTAGAGTTCTGTGCCCACAAAACCCCACAGATGTGGATGTGTGTGCATGTGTGCGTGCATGTATGTGTGTGAGTGGAAATGCACATGCCTCTGTACACATGTGCAAGGCAGAGGGACAGCTCTACTCCAGTCTTCATTTCTAATTGCTTGAGTAAGGGTCTCTCTGTTGTTCACTGCTCAGATGTCAGGCTATCTGACTCTGATTTTCTGGGAATACCCCCAACCCCAATGCCACCATGTCACCATAGGAGAGCTGAAGTCTCAGACATGTGTTCCTGTGTCTGGCTTTGAATGGATTCTCGAGATTTAAACTCAATTAATTATGCATCTTCAATAAGCACTTTCCCTACCAAGCCATCTCCTCACCCCGAGAGAAGTCTTTAAAACTGCACACATTTGATTCTGTTTTTCTCTTCAGAGAACAAAAACTACATGGTAAGACGTGTGAAGAAAAAAATTACAGGTACCTCAGAGCTAATTAGAGATAATGTGCTGTTTTTGACTTTGAGGGAAGACACTCCCCACTTAACACAGGCACTTAAGTCTGTTGTTCACTACACAATGAGGCATGCATGTTTACTTGCATTGGCCGTTGAACAGAAAGTTTAAAAGACTGTATTGTCAGAGTTCCCCATGACACCTCCCTTCAAAATATTGCTGTAATTCTTCTCTCTCCCTCTACACTTCTGAGTTTGAAGCAATATTTGTTTATTTTAGGTGAGAATGTGACCAAAAAAGATGTTGCGTGCTGGAGAGATGTCAGATGTTAAAATCACTTACTGCTCTTGCAGAGGACTGGGGCTCCTTCCAGCACCCACTGTGCTCTCTCAGGGGAGGTTGACCACTGATGAAGGGTTTGTCCTGCAGAAGGTTGCCACGGACTTGTAACCACCTGTAATGCCAGCTCCAAGACATCCAATGCCTCTGGTCTCCAAGGCACTACCCCCCCCCATGTACATATATTCATATGCAGGCGCGTGCGTATACACACACACACACACTTAAACATAATTTTTTAAAATTCTTTACAAAAATGATGTGTGGTCAATTTGATTCAAATAAGAATTCTTTGGGCATAAGATTTACAGTGTTCACGATCATTATTGTTTTACTCTTGTGTACAAATAATAAGCATTGATTAGTATTCCCATTAGATGTTACAGTTTTAACATAGGAAACACATAAAAAGAATCTCTGGAAGTGAGTAGTCAGTAACAATTCCAAATGATACATCTTCTTCATATCAGCTACTATCATAGACATTAAATATTAATTCTCTTTTCAAATATTTATTAAGTATGATAACATTCTGAGAGGTCTACTTGAAAAGGCCAGAGCCCCAGAGGACCAGAATTCAAGAACACTTAAGGCTTTACCATAGCCCAGTTCCCTTAGATCTTTCTGTTTGTTTTCCTGCGGTCACCTGGATTTTCTGGAAGCACCTCTCATGGTCTGGTTGATGGCACAACTCTGCCTCCTGCAGCTGACTCAGTGCTGAACTCTTTTTCAGCTCTCAACATACCTGATTCAGCCTCCCCCCATGAAGTGCATCACAGTTGTGTCTGGCCTGATAGTCAATGTCAAACAGCTGCAGGACTAACTCTTCATCAATGGGCGAACTTCCCTGCAAGGCATGAACAAGAACACAGGTAGCCAGGAGCTTCCTGCTTCCTTCCTTCATCTCAGGAGGTGCTGACCACTCCTGGGGAGCAGGGAGTTTGGAGGCAAATACAATGCTCCAGGAGCGTTCCCTAGAGACAGAAAGTACCTGGGGAGTCTAAGAGACCACTTAGGACCTGCAGGAAGCCGTGAGTCCCCAAGGAAATACTGTCTGACCAAAAACAAAATTCTCCAGCACTTTGTAGCAGTGACATTCCTAGAGTATTTTCCAGATGTATCTTTAAAAAAAAAAAAAAAAAGTATGTGTATGTTGCTATCAATCTATGCCACATGTGTGCAGGTGTCCTCGGAGGCCAGCAGAGGGCACTATGTGCCCTGGAGCAGGAGCATGGGTGGTTATGAGCTGCCAGGTGGATGCTGGGAAATGAACCTAGGTCCTCTTAGCCACTGGGTCATGTGTCTCTTAAAGGAGCTGCCCTCTTCATGGCCCAGCTGGAAGAGGCCAAGTCAATATTTTGAGCTCAGAGTAACCCTGTCCTTGCCTGCCCCCCAGATGCAGTTGGTAGGGTAGAAATGGACACACTGAGCAGTTCAGCAGGATGACTGTTAGCTATCCTGTGATGTGACCTAACACGGCAAGATAAACTAGAGTCCCACTTGGGGAGGTAAAGGTCGGGAAACAGCGTGAGTTGGAGCTGGAGATGAATTGACATTTGTGGAGAGAACAGTCAGAGCCTTAAGGGATGCAGCGAGGTCAGAACGAGGCAGGATGATAATGAGAGAAAGAGCAATCAGTAAAGTGAAATAACCAGTGGGGTGGAAGGGAAAGTGTGAGTCCCTGCTGGGACTCACAGCACAGGCCAGTGCGGTAAAGGAGACTTTAGGGACTTAGGGACTCCGGTCACTGAGACTGGAAACAGCAAGTGGACAGAGCAGATGAGGTGCAGTCTCGGGCTGTGTTGTGTTGTTTTGTTTTCCTGTTATACAAAGAATTTTTTGACCTTCCTTTCTTCAAAACTCCCAGGCTTCTTCAGCTTAGCCACCTCAAAGATGAACTATGTGTTCACCAACCCTGAAGATGCTGCCGGGACTGAGGGGGAAGACTCAGTTGGCAAATGCCTGCTACAGCACAAGTGTGAGGACTTGAGCCCCCAGGACCCATGGAGAAGAGCCAGGCATGCTGGCGCGTGCTTGTAACCCTGGCATGAACAGTCAGACAGCCCAGCCAAATCTGCAAACTTCAGGCCACTGAGAGACCTGTCTCAAATAAAATTGTGTTTGGCATCTGAGGAACAACATTTGAGGTTGTCCTCTGGCATTCCTGAGTGCACACACCACATCCACAACACACACACACACCTATACACACCACACCACACACACATACATACACCCATACACCCATACACACACACATACACAAAGATACACATATCACACACACACACATACACCCATACACACACAGATACACATATCACACACACATATATATAAACATACACACATGCATATATACACCACACACACATACATACACCCATACACACACACACACAAAGATACACATATCACACACACATACATACATACACACATGCATACACACCACACACATGCATATACACACCACACCACACAACATACATACACACACATTCATACACACACCACACACACACACACCACAGAGAGAGAGAATGAGAACTAAGAAGTTTGAATTTCCAATATCAAAGGTCTAGATCACATTCCTAAAAAGACTTTTCAGATGCAGTCATCCCATGAAATAGTTCCCAGGATTATTTTTATCTTCTCTGGAAATTGACTTTTCTTCTTTTCTCTTTTTTTAACTTGAAATTTAATTTTATGTACTTGTGTGAGTGGGCACAGGCACATCACATGCCATGGCATGTATGTGGAGATCAGAGGGCAACTTTCAGGAAGAATCCACTCCCCTTCTTCCACCATGTGTGTCTTGGGAATTGAATCCAGGCCATCAGGGTTGTGGCAGGCACCTTTGCTCTCCAAGCCGTCTAGTCACTGGCCTCCCAAGTGCTGGAATTAAGTGCATGTGCCATCGCTGCCTGGCCCATGGATTGTTATGGAAAAAGAACTATAGTTTGGGTGGTTGTTTTTTGTCAACTGCCATAGCTGTTTTGTGACCCATCTTCTTCCCTCAGCAGTGCAAACTTGTGCGTCCACTTTGATGTTCTTCCTGGTTTCTCCATCTTGTTGGAGAGAACCTGGGGCTGCAGACAAGACTAGGGGCGGTGCTCAAGGGTCTTGGGCAGACCAGCAAGTGTAATGGTGAGTAAGAACACCAGCTACAGGGAGGCTGGAAGGGATGCTAGGCTACTTCTTCCAGAAGTCAGGAAATGGCCAACAAGAAGACTCAGTGGGGGAAAAAAAATGGCTGATAATATGATGATTCATTAAGTCCTCATAAAGGTTCAGGGAGAAGAGATTCCACAAGGCTGTCCTCTGACCTCTGTCCCCTAATCTCTGACCTCCACACTCTCACAGTGGCATTCAACATCCACAGTACATACCACACACAATAACAATAATAATATTTTAAAGGCAGACACAGGCCTCACTGTTTTGTAAGGAAAGCTCTATGCAGCCATCTTTGAGGAGTTACATAAGGATTCTTACATTTCCTACTCGGGTACACACTCAGGTGAATCTCCAGCAATAGGAATGAGAGGAGATGTGGGAGCCAAACAATCCCATTCAGCCAGATTATGACAAGCAGTGCTGTGGGTAGCAGGTAGCAGACACCATCTCCTTATTTGTGGAGGTTATTTCTGACACAGGCACATGGCCCATGCAATGACAGTAAACCCTGGATTCTGTGATGTTGTGAAACAGCTTCTCTCCCCACCAGGCCTCACACTGGTACAATGCAAGTTTAATTAATTTTGGCAATGGCTTCTGGCATCCTTTGGGGGAAACTTGAGAGTAAAGTCAGGGAAAGGGGTCAGCAAGACTTGAGGACAGCACCTAAAAGCAGTTTAGCACCTAGATCTCACTGTGCCTCAGTCTCTCAATATTTCTGGGTAATTCTCCTTTCTCCTTAAACCTGCCAAATTATATTTGGGTCTGGAGGATAGTCACTTGCTAATGAAGCAGTTCCAGATAGACACATGGACTAGGGCTGGCAATATGGCTCAGCTGGTAAAGGTGCTTGCCAACAAGCTTGATGAGCTGAGTTCTATCCTCAGGACCCACACTATAGAAGGAGAGAACCAACTCCCACAAGTTGTCCTCTGTTGCTATGTCATATGTGTGTGTAATGAAGGTGTGTATAAAATACTTTGGCTAAAAATTACTAATACATAAAAAATCTGTGAGGGATATCATACTGGAAGGTCTTAAATCTGGGGGGAACATCAGACATAAAAACCTCTGCAGAGACTTGGAGCATCAGTGACTGGAGGCAAGGAAAGGCCTGATGACTATGCCAGAAGCCTCACCCTTCAGAAAGCCACCCTCATCAGCACAGCTCACAAGCACTCACAACCAAGTGAGTCCAGGAGTGTGAACAGAGGCAGGATGAAGGATGGAGAAGAATTGTATTAACTAATGTGGGAACAGAAGCTGCAGAACCACATTCGTGGTGAAAGACAGAAACACGAGTCCAAATTAGCCCCGAGCTTACAAACTCCCAGAGGTCTCCTGTTCCCCAAACTTTCTTTCTTTTTTTCCTGTTTTAGTTTTTCAAGGCAGGGTTTCTCTGTGTAGCTTTGTACTCGGAACTCGCTCTGTAGACCAGGCTGACCTTGAACTCACAGAGATCCACCTGCCTATGCCTCCTGAGTGCTGTGTCACTAACGCCCGGCTTGTTCCCCAAACTTTCTGCTGCCACTGACTGTCAGACTGATTCCAATTTGACTGACAATGTGAGAGTTTGACTGTAACATGTTTACCAGAAGCCACTCTGAGCTTATGCGTTTCTTCAGCACAGAAGTCTGAGCCCAGGGCCTCCCTCATGTAACGAGTGTAACTCTCGCACATTGAGCTGGGCTCTCAACAGTAGTTTTAGGAGTCACTGCCAACTTACAAGAGCCTTGGCCCAGTCACAGAAGTCTTGGACTGCTCTGCGTACGTTGTCATGGAGGAGGCTGTCTTTATAGATGGAATTCACTTTGCTTAGCCTTTCTTCCCAAAGCCATTGGCCTGAATGTGACACCGGCATCTTCTTGGGTCTAAAGACAATGAGATCATCAAAGAAAGGTGAGGTTCTGTGAGTCCAAGTGAATCTCAATAGGAATCACTGGGAAATGAGATCAGACTTCTCAAGGTCTCTAAAATGTCAAATGAATCATAGCTTCAAAGACCACACTCCCCTAGTCAGCACTAGAAAGACAAGTGCGTCATAGCTGAGCATACTTAAGAACATTAAATCTAGTGTCACGCTGGCTTTTAAAGTTATGAGTATCACTCATTAATTAATATGTGTGCCAGGTAGAAGCCACTGTACTTGAAGTTGACTTGTAATCTTAAGGAAACAGAGAATCATGGACAATGCTCTCCCAACCTTACATACATCTCTGATCCTCCAGTTCATCCATGTCTGGTAGATTTGAGCTGTCTGTTCCTCTGTACCATTGTGGAAGGCTCTCACTGGCATTTCTACATCTTCTATCTATCCTCCACTCCTGAATCCATTATTTAAATTTCAGGTTGAATGCTCATTGCATGTCAAACACAGTCACCCATCATCCAACTCATAAGGTTGAGAGCCATTGCCCAGCCCGTAGACTTATGAATGGCCTGTGGTCTCCTAGAATGAGGATGCCGAGACCATTCAACCACTAGGCATACATTCACCTTACACATGGAAACCTGAGCACTGGGAGGTTGGTATCTTGTCTACGTTAGGTCTGAAGTCTAGCAGGAAACCAGGATCTGAACACCGCTTAATCAATTTAATGGTGGGGCTGGACAAGTGGCTGATGTGGGATGGGGCAGCAAGAGTGAAAGGCCTTCATTTTCTGTCTTCAAACCTCTATGTAGCTGACTCCAGGACAGCAGGCTGATGTCCCCAACACTACCTATAACAGTACTCAGAAACTAAGATATTCTTTCGTCTGTTTTGTCCATTCCAATCCATGTCATTATCCTATGTTGTCTGTGTTGTTTTCCATATCTGCCACCAAGCCCAGTCTAGCTTATAGCAAAAGCTCCTGAAGGCCAAGGATGGATGTCCCTGATGGGTCTGTCCTGTGAAGGCCCCAGAATAGGGTTCAATGGTTGTTTCCAGAATGGCTGACCTAAGAAATGCAACACAGTATATAAAGGGACAGCAGTTACTGTCTCCCTTGATGGCTTGACTATTCCTTGTGGGCTCCCACATTGGACAGCTCCCCCGAGTGGACACTTAGAGGTCTTTTTCCTCTTTGTGAAAGGAAGGACTGGTCTCAAAGCCCTTTAGCTCTAAGTCTTAACCCCTGTGCTTTCAAGCCCATTCCAGAGACTCCAAATCCACTTCCTCTCTGGATACCAGCTTGCAGAGGGCACTGCCACCGTTGCTCATCAGGTCTCAGAAGCCTTTCTCAAGAAGCCAGGCTTTAAACTGCTTGTCAAAGTAGCCCTTAACTCAAAGAGTACCTGTCACCTCATTAACCTGGGTGACAGGTGTCTTTCCCAGCTGTGGGGTCAGAAGTTCTTCCACATGCTTCTGTAGGCCCAGATGTCCCCTTCCACCTTACAGATCACAGTCATCTGTCATGTGCCATGTGTGATGTCCTTGTAGACAGGATATTATGCATCCGGGATCGCAGAATAAAATAGGGCAAGCTAGGAGGAGGATCTCTGGGAGGCTGCCAGCCACTAGGAGTGGGGTAATGTTTATGCTTTGGTGGCTCTGGGATTTTGATAGGTGGGAGCAGCTGCTCCACAAACTGGTATTCATCCACAGACTCCAGAAAGCTGGGGTTATCAGGAGGACCCTGAGTTTGGCTCAGCTGCTATAGCCCATAGCTCCGTCGGAGGCAGCGCCCAGAGTCTTGCACTGTGGCTAGAAACACAGCGGCTGCCATCGTGGATTGACCAGATGTGAGTGCCTACAGAGACCTAATAGTAATCATAAATGCTTGGCCAATAGTTCAGGCTTGTTACTAGCTAACTCTTACATCTGTGTCTATCTGCGACTTTCAGACTCTGCCCTTTTTCTTCCCAGCATTCTGGAAGGAAGGCAGGAGAAACTGTTGGGGGCAGGGCTTGGGTGTTACAGCTGGCCCTGTTGTGGAATATTACTTTAACTATGTAAAGATGTGGTGCTGTTTTAACTTGCCTGCCTAGGACACCTGACTGATCTAATATCTGGCGTGCAGAAAGAATAAATAGTAGAATGAGAAGAAGAGAACAAGGGAGATAGACAGACAGACAACTGGGACCAACCAGCCCAATACGGAGTAGGACATACAGAAGGAAAAGGCTGAGCATTCATAATTAATAATAAGTCTCCATGTCATGATTTGAGGGCTGGTTGTCCAAGAAAGCCTGCTATATGACCCTGCTTCTGACCCAAGCTCTCTGCTTTCTGTTGGGCCTCAGGTGACAGACCTCTGGAGTACATCCCTGTAGTCTTGGCTGTGAGGCTGCCCTACCCGTACCATGTCTTCCCCGCTATGATGGACCGTCCCCTCTCCAACTGTGAGCCAGAATAAATCCTTCCCCCTGACACTGTTTCTGCTGGGTATTTTGTCAGGACAATGGACAAAGTCACTGATGTGTCAGCACATGTCCATGTGACCTTAACCACGGGCAAGGTCAGTGGAGTTCAGTGGGGATCAACAGGGAATCGAGTTTGGATGCCTCCCTCAAGGATTGTTCTCAGAGGAGAGGATAGCATATCTGGCCAAGGGAACTTGTTTTCAAGAGGGGTGGTGTCATCTCCTGTTCTGGAAGGGTCATAGAGGCCTCTAAAGACATTGGGTGCTAATCCTTGGAGCTTGTGGTACTCTACTTTCAAAGAGTCTTTGTAGATGTGATTCATCCACACCTCTGAGACAAGATTATCCTGCTGGGTCATATACACCATAACAGGTGTAAGGACAGAGGCGGAGGGGGTGAGAGGACCTGATACACAAGAGCAGGCCACTGGAGGACACCAAACAGACACAAAGCTGCTGGTCTTGAAGTTTGGAGCTCTGTGGTCACAAGGCACTGGATACAAACAGCCACCAGAGACTGGAGGAGGCAAGGAACAAATTTCTCTGCAGCCTCTGGAGGGAATGCAGCCCTGCTGGTATTTGATTTCAGCTGTGATATCTACAGCAGACTGTAGGCCTCAGAGCTGTTATTAGATGTTGTAAAAACATCTCCATTGTTTTAAGCTGCCAAGTTTGTGTTAAAATTTCACAGCAGTCAAAGGAAGCTAATGCAAATGCTAACAGCCCAGCTTACCTCTATGAACATACACATTTCCTTTATGATGTGCTAATATATTAATATATTACTGCTGAACTTCCAAGTGAGTGGGTAATCACTTGTTTGTAATGTCTTATGTTAGAGCAATGGTTCTCAACCTGTGGGTTGTGACCCCTCTGAAAACTCACTCACATATCAGATATTTATATTACAGTTTATACCAGTAGAAAACTACAGTCATGAAGTAGCAATGAAACAATTTCATGGTTGGGGGGGTCACCACAACATGAAGAACCATACTAAAGAGTCACAGTGTTAGGAGGGTTGAGAACCACTGCCTTAGAGATTTTGCAGGGTTAATTATATAAATTGCCCAAAGTAAAAGACAGATCCTGCCTTTATTGCCTTACTGTATCACACATTGTATCTCTATGCATAATGTTCCTCTCTTCCACATCCAGGTTCTAAGCAACTTGAAAGACAATATACACAGTGAAGACAGAAGCCAAACCATCACTTTTGTGACAAGGAGCTGCCGTGTTAGAGGGTGTGGCCTTAGGTCCACTGTGGCTTTAGGTCACTGAAGGCCATAGACCTGAAGACTCTTCTACCCAGTCTCCACCAGGGATGACTTTCCCACCAGCACAGAGAAGGAGAAGACTGTATGCTTCCCCCGGGGCCACTCCTTCTCCAGTGGGAGAAAGGCAGGAGCGAGGTGGATTGCTATTCCTCAGTACCCACTGGTGAGCACATCCAGTTTCAAAAGTAAAAGTATCTCATCCAAAATCTATTTATGTCAACATTTCTACTAAGTTTCATGCTTGGAAAGCTTCAGAGAAGGAAGCAATTATGGGTGTGGTTTATGCAAAGATGATCAGAGCCTCCAAACAGATTTTGTAATTGCTTTAGGTGACAAGCATGTAACCAGATGTGGTGGTACAAGTCTGTAATCCCAGCACTCTGGAAATAGAGGCAGGAAGATGAAGAATTTCAGGCCAGCATGGGGTACCTGAAACTCTGTCTCAAAATAGAAAGAAAGGCTAGCCAGGGCATCGTTGACAATTCCCTGTGTTATGCGTATGTGCACACATGTACATATAATTATCCAACTGGCCACTGGCCTGCCATGTTGAATAAAGTTAATTCATCAGGCTTTTTGCCATCATCTTGTCAAATAAAAGCTAGATGGGCGCCCATGTTTATACATGCACGGGAGACATGACTTCTTTTCCTCTGCCAGACTATTGCCATTGCTTCCTAAGTATTCTAGGTACCCAGGTGTGGTAGCTCTGGCCTAAAATCCCAATCCTGAGAAACACAAGCAGGAAGACTGGCATGGTAGGACATCCTTAGCATCACAATGAGTTGGAGGTCAGCCTGGCCTAAATAAGACTGAGAAGGGTGTTTGTTTTGTTTTAACTAGCAAAACAAGATACCCAAATTAGCAAAATCATTCTAAGTATGATAAAGCCACCCTAGAATATTCATCAGGGGAAAGATGTCAGCAGTACTCACAGGCACACTTGAGAAGAACATTTTTCTACAAGCTTTCTGGGTTCCTTCAATAGTTTCCTGGTACCCTGACAATAAGCCCACAAGTCCACCAGCTTCTTCTCGGGGTCGAGTACCTCCAGCACCTGCAGTAGGAGCTACAAAGAGAAAGGAAACTTGGAGTAGGGTGGGGGGAAGAGTGCAGGAAACGGGGGGGGGGGGGGAGGAGGCAATTCTATAACAAAGTACACTAAGTCACTTCCCCAGTGTTCCTTTTCCAATGCCAAGCCTTGAACTGGGCCACTGGGTGTTCAGGCTGTGTTATGGTTCCATCTCCTCTATAAATATGCCTATGACCTTCCCCAGGCCCCCAAAGCCATAGAGCTTGGAGTGTCTCTGGTAGACTTCTGTCACTCTTTGCCAGCATCTTGAGCACCTCTCTTGAGCATGCTCATCTTGAGCATGGTGTCTACGTTTTTCCCTTGAACCACCTCACATGCCAGGGAAAATAGTGCAGCCAATAAAGTGCTTGCCTTGCTTTCGTGAGAACACGAGTTTAACACCCCCAGAACTCATGTTAAAAAAAAAATCTGGATGTGGTGCACACTTGTAATCTTAAGGCTAAGGTAATGAAGACTTGCCTGTCTACCAAGCTCAGTGAGTCCCAGACCAGTAGGATCAAGTGGACCACAGAGACTAGACTGTAGGATTGGATTTTGCTGGGATCACACAGCTGACCTGAACAAGGGGAAGCTCATGGACCCCAGACTGATAGCTGGGAAACTAGCATAGGACTGGGCAGTCTATGGGGCTTCTGGTATTGGATCAGTATTTATCGCTAGTATAGGAATGGACATTGGGAGCCCATTGTACATAGAGGGATACACTCAGCATAGACACATGGGCAAGGGCTTAGGCCCTGCTCCAAATGATAAGTCAGACTTTGAAGATCCCCATGGAAGGCCTCACCCTCCCTGGGGAGCAAAAAGGAGATGGGATGGGAGTTAGTAGGGGGAACAGGGGAGAATGGAAGGTGTGGGAACTGGAATTGACATGTAAAACAAGCTTGTTTCAAATTTAAATAGAGAGATCCTGCTTCAAAACAAAGCTATGAATCCTAGTTGGGGAAATCAGATAGGGAAAATGAGCCCCGCTCCAGTGTTGTGACCACGGGTCTTGAGATGTGGTATAACCACCTCTTTATCTGATGGCTTATGGGACCCTGGAAGGAAAAGGCCATGTAGATAACCATGGTTATCAGAAATTTCAGCGGGAGTGGAGGAGTGGGTTTCAGAGCTGGGAGAGTGGCAGACAAGAAGGTCCCCAGGGCCTCTGAGGCCAGGCAGGGGTTAAGCTCCACAGGGTGAGAGCAGCTTTGAGCAAAGGAATGGTATACTCAGATTTGCCTGTTTATCCCTGAACAGGCTGCAGAGATGTGGGTGGAAAGCCCTCCTACTCACCCCCTGCCTCATCCAGTCTGCCTTCTTCCTCAGATCTCACGCAGCCCGGGATTTGTTCAAGGCTATGATGGTCAAGTAAGAACCCATTTCTAGGTTCTCTGGTAGAAAGGGAGGTCAAATGAGGTAGCCCTTCCTAGGAAAACTACCAAAAAGACAGATGCTTCTTTCTTCTTGTTGGAAAGACAAACTTGGTGCCATTTTAAGATATAAAAATAGGGTAAATGTGCTGAGGGTTATGAAGATGAATCAGGAGCAGCCCATGACATTGGTGACACACATAGCCCCGCCCCACCCGGTCCCATGGCCTTCAGATTCTCCAATCCCTATCCACCTATTAACGAGTTCTTAAGGAGATCTCTTTGTCCCAGGCTAAACAAACAAGTGAGACTGGACAATTCCCTTCATGGCTTCCTGTATCTACAAAGTCTCAAGGCAAAGTCAAAAGAGTTTGAGGGGGTTGAGCTGAAAGTGCCTGTGTGGGACACTGGGTGAGTCGAATGGCTGCACAGGAAGCAAAGGAAGCAGCTGTGTGTCCCACCATTTGTGTTTCCTCAATAGGAAAAGAAGGCTCTCCTAGGCTGGCTAGGAACCTCCACCTGGGGGTACAAGCCTCTCTTCTACAGCATGCACCCCAGGGCCTCCTGGAGAGAATTATTTTGAAGTCCCCAGGAGTCCCCTCCCTCAAGCCCAGACAGATCACCTCAGCAGGCAGAGCTTCTCCCAAATGGGGGTAGAGAGCCAGGAGGTGCAGGGTCTCGTTATCTTCAATGTCCTCTAAGAATGCCTCTCCTGCTTGTGCAACCTTGGACCACGGAGCTGCCCCCCTGGGCAGTCCATTCTGCCTCTTCTTGGGGGTGGCTTGGGGAAGTCTGGGATGGATATGAGGCAGAAGGACACTCTTGGGGCTCCGGTGTGGGGGGCAGTCTTTCCGGAAGTCATCCAGCCCCTCTCTCACAAACACCCAGCGCTGGCTGATCATGGAGCCAGGGACCTTCATCCTCTTGTGCTTCATGAAACACTTGGAAGGCGGGTTCTCCAGGCACCTAGAAGACAACCGGTCAGGGCATATGCATCCCAGGACTTGGGTGGGAGGAGGTGGTAAGGAGGCTGGCCCCATCTATTGTGGGGTGGGGGTGGGGTGGGGGGTAGGTGGATCAGAGGAAGTCACAGGAGGCCGAGTTAATTGTGCTCTACTGTGTCCCCGTGGCCTGCGTGGCCTGCTCCCATCACCCATCACCTGCTTAAGCTTAAGCACTGTTCTGGATGGGACCAGTACCTTTCCCTGCATGCATCCTTGAAGCATCAGTTATCCCTCTGCGTGTATGAATTCTAAATACGGATGCTTTTCTCCCTGAGTACCCCATTTCAAAGTCTTACCTGTGTCGTCCCTGTCACTATATTTTAAAAACATATCCATGTGTAAATTTAAGCATTTGATATTCTACTTCTGCTTCATTAAAAAGAATCCCTTGTGTTTTCGAAGGATAGTCAGGTTGCTTCCCCTCTCAGAGACAAGGGACAGCACTACTGTAGGAAGAACTTAACCCCAGTGACAGCGTTGCTCCTGTGGTGAAAGCTTCACTGTCAGCTTGATTGGACTCGGAATCACCTAGGAGACACGCTCCCTCCCGTGAGAACATTTCCAGAGAGGGTTGGCTGAGGAGGAGAGAGCCACACTCAGTGTGAGTTGCTCTATGGTACACACTGGAGATCTGGACTGAAGAGGGGAGCACGATACTCCCTATTCTGTGTGGGGAGTCCTTCCCCACCAAGACAGACACTACCCTCTCAAACCCTGAGCCCAAGTAACTCTTCCCCCATAAGTTGCTTTGTGCCGGGTATTTTGTCATGCAGATGAGAAGTTCCTCTGTAGCTGTGTGTTAGATAACCTCAGTAGGTCCCTGTGGTAGCTTGAATGAAAATGTACCCCATAGGCTCACAGGAGGTGGCACTATTAGGAAGTGTGGCCTTATTGGAGTAAGTGTGTCACTGTGAGTGGGTTTTAGAGTTTCAAATGCTCAAGCTATCGTTTCTTTCTCATCCTGTGGAATTCCTGCTGACCCTGATGTAGGGCTCTCAGCTGTCTCTCCAGCACCATGTCTGCCAGCACGATGCCACCATGCTCCCCACATGCCATGATGACAATGGACTAAACCTCTGAACCTGTAACAGCCCCAGTTAACTGTTTTCCTTTGTAAGAGTTGCCATGGTCATGGTCCCTTCACAGCAATAGAAACCCTAACTGGGACAGCCCTGGTTTCCTCTTTTCAACTCAAGAGGAAGGCTGAGAAATGATAGCCCACAAGCTACACTAGGCTACAATATGTCATTTAGTCCTGTCTCTGTCTGTCTGTCTGTCTGGCTGGCTGACTGTTTTTCTGTCTGTCTGTCTGTCTGTCTGTCTGTCTGTCTCTCTCTCTCTCTCTCTCTCTCTCTCTCTCTCTGTGTGTGTGTGTGTATGTGTGTGTGATGGGAGATGCAATTCTGTAAATATGTTTCTCGTACTGGTTAATGAATAAAGCACTGTTGGCCAATAGGAAAGCAAGATAGGCGGGACTAGGAGACAAGGAGGATTGGAGGAAGTAGTAAGGAGGAGTCAAGATGGAGAGTCTGGAGAGAGTAGAACCACCAGCCGCCTCTCCCCGGTAAGATAAGACCATGTGGAAATACATAGAAATGGGTTAATAATTAAGACAGAGCTAGCCGAAAAGAAACAAGTAACTGGCCAACAGCATTATATCAAATACAGAGTGTCAGTGTGTTAATTGGGGCTGGCACGGCAGCGGGACAAGACCGGCGGCGGCGGGAGGAAAACCATACTCCTTACGTACGTGTGTGTGTGTGTGTGTGTGTGTGTGTGTGTGTGTGTGTGAAGTCTGGCAGATGGCTTTGTGTGCAAAGGTGCCTGCTGCCAAGCCTAATCCCAGGACCCACATGGTACAAGGAGAAAACCATCTCTCAAAGGTTGTTCTCTGACTTCTACATGCACACACACACACACACACACACACACACACAGTGTACATGTACACACACAGTGTACATGTGCACACACACAGAGTGGCAAACACACATGCACATGTACACACAGATGCACAAACAGACACACACACTCAATGTGCACACATGCACAAATAGACAAGTTTTCTTTAAAGAATCATAATAGCTACACAAATGAGAATTCCCCACCAAACAGGAACTGTTCTAAGTGCTTTCATACCACAGGCTATTTAAATCTCATAACAACTCCACTTAGTCAGTACTAGTGTTATTCCTATAGCTAAAGTGAGGCATGGAGAAGTAAAAAGACAAAACACGTGTCAAAGCCACACAGGTGAACTCTCCCCAGGAGTCCAATGCCTCTGGCCTCCAGGAGCACATGTATTCATGTGTGCATATCCACATGTGCATACGTGCATAGAATGCAGTTTAAAGCGCCAGTGAACCATGGCTAACTCTACACTGGGGCTGATCGTTATCATTGTTTCTGCAGTTATCTGGCATTTGAGATCCTCCTGAAGAGTCAGAAGGTTCTCCAGGTTCTGGTTCACGAGATGCATGTTTTCCTGGAGCCATGGGTGGTCTGACCCTCTTCACCTCAGGTGAGCCATAGACTCTCTCCTTCACCCCTCCTCCCATCTGACTTCTACGAGGCCTATGTCTCTCTGCTTCCTTCCCCTCCTGGCCCCCACTGGGATAGAGCAGTCAGGACATGGAGAAGAGATGGAAGGGGCAGATGGCACACGGGAAGGAAAGTGACACCAGATCTAGAATAATCAGACACACCAATGCCAAAGCCAGGCCTCAGAACCCAGGCAGTGAATGACCTAACTAATGCCAGCCTGCCTCAGACATTTTGAAAGCTGTTGTCTTCCCCTGGAGATTTTTCTGCCTTTAGGCCCTGTCAACCATAATGGCCCTTTATGCCAAACCCAATCTGTAGTGATGTTTTGTTTATGAGCTAATAAAGATTGCCTGAAGATCGGAGGGCAAAGCTAGCCACACTAGTCAGCATAGAGGCCAGGCAGTGGTGGCACATGCCTTTAATCCCAGCACTCAGGAGACAGAGGCAGGCTACTCTCAGATCAGACTTGTAGAAGATGACCTTGAACTACCTTCAATTTCTGAAATTTCTGAGCCTCTTGCCTCCACCTCCTGAATGCTATGATTCATGCACCAGCATGTCTGGCTTATAGGGTACTAGGGGTTGAACCCAAAGCTTCATGCTAGGAAAGCATACTGCAAACTGAGCTGTGTCCCCAGCTTCAACTCTCCACAAATAATCTTAAACTCACAAATAATCTTGCTTGACCAATAACATAAAACTAGAGATATTTTCCCCTGAATGTTTACTATTTCCACAAACATTAGTATATAATATATTGTCATTTATCCTAACGATAGAAAATATACGTTCTTCTAAAACATGTACATAAAGGCCCGTGGCAGCTTTGTACATAATAGCAAAACCTGAAACTAGCCTGGAGACCTTCAAGTGACTAAAGAAACAAACTGTAGTATACACATATCACAAAACACATTCCTTAGCAACCAGATGAACAAATAATTGACACATACAAGTTGGATGGCTCTCACAAGCTTTATGGGTGAAAAGGAGCCAATATCAAAGGATATTGATATCAAATATCAAAGCCTACATTATTCTAGTTTGCTAACATTGTTTTTTAAATTTTTATTTATCATATTCCCTGGACTTGGAGTTACTGGCACTTGTATGCTGCCTGATGTAGGTGCTAGGAACCCAATTCCAGTCCTCTGGAAGGGCATTGGACACTCTTAATGCTGAGCCATCTCTCAAGCCACTAGTTAACATTCTTAAAACACTCAAAATGACAGAACTGGAAAAGATTCATGGTTGGTTGGGGGTGAGAGATGGACAATGAGGGTCCCACAGTTGCTCCTGTGAGGTTGTTGGATGCAAAATGTTCCCTATAGGTTCTTGTGTTTAAACACTTGGTCTCTAGCTGGTGGCACTGTTTTTAGAGATTATGGAACTTTGGAGGATGTGAAACCTCTCTAGCCTTCAAGGTAAAACTCCTGACCTGCTTCCTGTCCATTTGTGCTCCTGATCACCCACAATGTACACAGCTCCTGCCAAAAGCTCCCATCTCCATGGATGAGACTGCTTGGGCTGCCCACTTCCCTCACTGACATAGACCCATACCTCCCCAAATGATAAGCCAGAACCAGTCCTTCCCTTGTTTTGGCCAGCTCTTCTGCCACAGCAATGAGAAAGGTAACTAATACTGTGATTATGAAGCCGTTTAGTATCTGGAAGTCTACAGACAAAAATTCTGCTGAAATGAGAGCTGATGAAATGCAGAAGTCTTGTTTAACCACCATATTGTGCCAAGGTCGATTTCCTGGTGAGAAGGTGGCATTCTGTAAACATGTAAGACAGTGCCATTGGATGCAATTGGGGAGGGCTAGATGGGATCTTGGACATTTACAATCGCCTCTGAGCCTACAATTATTTCAAAGCATATAGGTTTTCAGTGTGTGTGTGTGTGTGTGTGTGTGTGTGTGTGTGTGTGTGTGTAAGACTTCCCAAACATTCGTAATTGCTTACATGCATACAGAGCGCATTGTGTTCTATGTATGGCTAGTCCCAAGAATCCTCACCTGCCTATAAAGCTGATTCATTGACTTCTTCCCATTTCACAGTAAGAAAAGAAGAGCCCAGGGAGCTGGGTGTGGTGACACACCTCTAATCCCTGTGCTCTGGGGGGCTGAGGCAAGAGGACTAGCCTGGGGTATTTCTTGAGCTACTAGCCTTTCTGATTCTAGGCTTGCTGCCTTCTTCATCACCACACTGAAGTGCCTCTTCACAAACTAAAACTCACTCTTGAGCAAGGGGACATAAAATCCTCTTGCTTCCCCCACCAACCCTTCAAAGTAGTGACCTGCCTTCCCAGGATCTCAAGCAAACTCCCACCAAGCGTCCAACTGGGGATAAAGACTCCAGGCTTCACAGATGCCCTGGACCTGAGGTCCCAGAGCATCTGTTAAAAGCATTGACCACTCCCGCAGTGTGTTAAAGACAGGTGATAAGAAGCCTAGATTAGGACAGCCTCCTTAGTGGCCTCTGTGTGCCACCATTTTCCTATCTGGTCCGCGGATTTTAAACTACTTCTTCCTGGGGCTGAGGCAACAAACAAACCCAAAGAGCTGTGTACTTCCCATGGGGGATGGGGTGAGGGGGGTGCGGACGGGGCAGATCCAGCACTGGCCCTTTTACTCTACTGCAATAGCAAGGGCACAAGGGACACTACTAGAAGGCAACCTCCCCCAGCAGCTAAGACCTTCTTGGACCCAGTGCAGGGGATCCAGGCTTCCTGGCCAGCTGCATGAGCCCCAGTGGCACCGCTCTTACCGCCCACAGTTCCGGTGCTCCTGCAACAGCCTGGAAGCCAAAGTCGTGGGCTGGAGCCGCTGCCCACGCCCCGCCATGGCGCCGCTGGTTGCAGGACCACTGCTGGGCCGTGGGTGGCATGTTACCCCACAGCTTCCCGGGTCGCTAGGAGACCAGCACAGCCCTGCTCAGACCTGCCCAATTTGCCCTGTAGCTGCTGAGGTGTCCAACAGTACCAGGGCTGAACTGCCATTCTCTCTCCTGTGTGCAACTGGCTTGAAGGGAAGGAGTCAGACCTCGATTTAGTCAGATTTTCCTGGTGGAAAGGTGCGTGCATCTCCTACGGAGGAACTTACTGGAGACCCGAGGATTTTTTTTTCTTCCGGTTCGTTGGTTTTTAAATAAATATTTACTGTGGAGAAGAAACCAAACAGGAAAGGGGAGGGGAGGGGGAGGACAGAAGCTAACTGGAAGAGGCTTTGGCACTTTGCTTTCAGGAACTTGTGTCTAGCCACCAACTTCAAGGCACTTGGCACACCCAGTGTTGCCATCCTACTGGCCTGGTAAGCAAGGTCTCATGTAAGCATCAATTACAGGAGGATGTGTTTCTACTTTACGTTTGCTTGCTACTTCTGAGAGGCCTGATTTCATGAAAAGGGATACCTTCCAGAGGCTGCCCACTTTACAGGTGAGCTGAACACTAAAATGAGCTAGAAACACACAAACTCTTCCTTTATGAGCCCTTCCAGGACCCAGGTTAAGGGAGAAGGTCACACTGGGAAGGGTTACCAGAAATGCTGACACGGAAAAAAACAGACACTTAACAACACAGAAGCACTGGTTGTGTGTGCTTTCTTCAGAGCCACAGAGTGGCTATTGTTTTTTTAATTTATTTTAATTTTATTTATGTGTCTGCTTTTGTCTCTGTCCAGGGAGACCAGAACTAGAATTAGGTGTGGTTGTGGCCGCCTGACATGGGGGCCTGGAACTGAACTCCAGTTCTCTGCAATGTGTGGCCCTCATTGCTGCTACCTGCTCTTAAGCTGCAGCCTCTACGACCATGAAAAGTAAACATTGCTCTTTATAAGGTGCCCAATCCCAGGCGTTCTGTTATAGTAACAGAAAAGGACTAAGACAGTGTTCTTAATACCATCACCTTGGGGGTTAGGGTTCAGAGTTCAACAGATTAAAGGGGTGGGGCACAAATACTCAGACCACAGCATGTGGGAACTGACAAGGAATTAACAAATGCTGGTTAAATTTGGGTTCTGTTTCTACGGACTTAGGGAATGGGACCAGGACACTCAGATGTAAGTAAAAGTAAGCTTTGGTCAAACATAATCAGGTAACCCTAGCTCATTAAATGTGGTTTAAAAAAAAAAAAAAGGCCTCCATTAGGAGCAGCACTATTAGGATTTATGGCCTTGTTGGAGGAAGTGTGTCACTGTGGGGATGGGCTTTGAGGTCTCCTGTGTTCAAGCTATTCTCAGTGTGGGACACAGACTCCTTCTCCAGCACATGTCTGCCTGCATGCTGCCATGTCCTACCATGGTGACAACGACTAAATCTCTGAACCGTAAGCCACTCAATTAAATGTTTTCCTTTATAAGAATTGCAATAGTCATGGTGTCTCCTCACAGCAATAAAAACCCTAAGCAAGACTGTCTGTAAGAGCCGGCACTTACAATTACCCAGAAGCCTCCTGTACTGACCCAGATTGTGCCCGGTTACCTCTATAACTGTTGCTCAGGTACATTTTTAGCTCTACTGTGTCCCTTGGTGGAGTGCTTGCCCAGCATCTGAGGGCGGAGTTAAATCCCCAGGAAAAGAAGGGAAGGAAGAAAGGAGGGAGGGAGGTAGACAAAGATGGCGATGGAAGAGCTCTAGTTGTTTGATGAAGAAATACTCTCAGCCTCAATGAAGAATGTTACAGAATCTTCAGGACTGCTGAGAACTTCAATTGCCTTGCAACCTGCCTTGAGCTGGCCCATGCCTGGCACTGGCTAGCCCACCTAGGATCAGGTGGGATCCAAGGGGAAAGAGTACCTGTACCAAAGTAAACACTTTCCTGTTTGGATCAAAATTAGAGACTGACTCAAAAGATGATGTGAATGACTTCAAAGGAGCATGGTGCTTCAAAAACTTAAATATTGTTAAGGTACACCCTGACAATTCCACTCCTTCACATATAAGCAATAAATAAACAAGAAAATAAATAAAAACCATACATATAGTTTCAAAATAGCTGAAAGGAAAGGACACTCAATGTCCATACATACAATCCACATCGAGTGGAATATTATTCAACAAGAGAAGAAAGCGAGTACTGATAGATGCTACAACATACATGTGCCTTGCACACAGGAGCCAATTCAAAAAAGCCAGACACAAAAGGTCACACACTATGTGAAATATGGAGGACAGAAAATAGATACTTTCATTTTTGGAGAGTAGAGGGGTGACTTAATGGTACATAATTTCCTCCTTGATGGTGAGAACGTGTTTGGGAACCATGTAGATGCTGATTGACAGCTGAGAATGTACTAAAGGCTACTGAAGAGATCATTTCAAAATGCTTTTATTTCACAAGGATACAAATGCAAATCAATGCAAATCCTGGGATAAATTTAAGGATGTGACACGGAAGAGAAGGAAATGTACGGATATAAATGCTCTGAGGATTTTTTTTTTCCCTTTCACAAATATGGCTTCTGTTTTTAGTGATATTCTCAGTTATGTGAAAATTCAGTTATGGGAAGGATTTCTGCAGAGAGAATAAGAAGGGTTAGCCACCACAGGAGATCTTGTTTTATAAGCAGGAAGCTCAGGCGTGGTCTGGGTGCTCACCTGGTGTCAACTGAGACCCCTGGCAGACAGTAGAGACAGTGTTTACAGCTGCCACTCAGCTTCTTGTCCTCACTGCATTCCTGTGGAGCAGAGGCTGGACAACCCACAGCCCTCAGGTCGCTAGATGTAGGATATTTGGCATTTCTCATCAAATCTTGTTTTTAAAAAGGGGGGAGGCAGGGGTAGATATTCTCTAGATATGATACATGAACATACATACAAACATACATATATGAATTTTCCTTCATGAACAGGCCACTTCTGATACCTGCTTTAAGGAAGGAAGACCCCAGCCTTTAATCCCAGCACTTGAGAGGCAGAGGTAGGTGAATCTCTGTGAGTTTGAGGCCAGCCTGATCTACAGATTGAGTTCCAGGACAGTCTCCAAAGCAATACAGAGAAATCCTGTCTTGAAAAACAAACAAACAAACAAAAAACAAAACAAAAAAAAAAGAAAGGAAAAAAAGAAGGAAGGAAGGAAGACCTTATGTCATGTTCAAGGAGACTTCCAGGATCCCATATACTATAAAGTGTTCCAAATGAGCAATTTATTACTTTTTAAATGCCTAATAATTGGGGGGGTGCTCAGAAAAGTCAGAGAAATAAGGAAAAAATCCAAAGAGATGGTTAGAGCCACTGAGGGCCTGGGCTGCTCATGTGCTGACAGTGATGACTTAGAATTCTGCTCTGAGGCAGGGGACTTGTTTACATGGAAGTATTCTTGAGAATGGCTCCTGGCTGCTGGAGAGATGTTGTAGCTACCAGACATACATATTTACCATGACAAACCCTTTTTAGCAAATGTCCAGAGCAAGGTTGGGGGCCTGAGCACAGGCTATCTGAAGGTGGATGACACAAAAATACAACTCTTCAATCCAGCCTCTGGTCCTTCCCATGCCCTTATCAACACAGCATCTCCCCTGTCTTCTTACTCTTTTTATGCCTTCCAGTTTTTGTCCTGGAGAATAGCACACAGTTCTCTATCAACACCAAAAGGAGGCATGGTTCTTCAGATTCTTTAGGGCTCTACAACACAACACAACACAAACCCAGATTCTTTTTACTACTGTTAAAATCCTTTTTTTTTTTTTTTTTTTTTTTTTTTTTGAGACAGGGTTTTTCTGTATTGCTTTGGAGCATGTCTAGTAGACCTGGTCCTGTAGACCAGGCTGGCCTCGAACTCTGCCTACCTCTGCCTACCAAGTGCTGGGATTAAAGGCATACACCACCAATGCTGGGCCTGTTAAAATCCCATGGAGGCTCTGCCTTCTCATTAAAAGTTAGATCATTCTCTCAATATGTCAGTTTCTGCTCCAAGGCCTTTATACATACAGCCACACATTACCCAATGATGGAGATAAAGCCATTTAGATGATATTGCCGCTGTGCCAACCTCAAGTGCATATGCGCACAAAGACTTTCAGCCATTGCTGAGCGGCGTCATCTACTGGGCTTGTCTGGTCTTTCACCTACTCAGACACTGCCATGAAGCAAGACTACTAGGGAAGTAGAAGGTCTGAGTTGGGGAGGAAAGCCTCTTTTGTGCAGGGGAGAGAGAAACTCACAGAGGAGAACCCCTTTGCTAAACAGTGTAGTCTTCACCAGCCCTGGGCTCTAAACTGGGGCCCAGATGAAGGCGGTGCATTGAGATCTGAACACTTGCCAGCATGATCGAATCTAGACAGCTGGGTAGAACATTTTGTACCCATTTCAAAGCTTGTCTGTAACACTCCAAGGCCATAGCTTTGTTCAACATGTGATGGGAGATCTCATTCTGTAAATATATTTCTCTTATTGGTAAATTAATAAAGCGCTGTTGGCAAATAAGACAGAAAGATAGATGGGACTAGGAGACAAGGAAGATTCTGGGAGATGTAGTAGAGAAGAGTCAAGATGTAGGGACTTGAGAGAAGTCCAGACCCTCTCTCTGGTAAGATAAGACCACATGGAAGCTCTTAGATGAATAGAATTGGGTTAATATTTAAGACAGAGCTAACCAATAACAAACACTAGTAACAGGCCAACAACTTTACATCTAATACAGCATCTCTGTGTGTTATTTGGGGCTGATGAGGCTGTGGGACCAGGCTGTTGGGAAAACTGTTTGTAACAAACATGGGAGTGAAGGTTCTGTAGGGGCCGGAAACAGATGTACAGCCCAGCTTTGGAATCATATGTGTTCCATCCAGTGAGGAGCTCCTATAGTTGTGGGTTGAAATGGCTCCCTCCATGGAGTCACTATATTTATCGA